TTCGCCAGTCCGATTCTCGAAGGGGACGAGACAGGAACTGATTCGCCCAACGACCACGAACCGGTCACACCCATCAGCGTCAGGTACTCGCAGGAATTCACCACGCTGCCCACCCCGGATAAGCAGAGTTTCCACCACCATCACCACCCCACCACCACTCCTCTGGCCACGGCTTCCACCCCTTCGCCCGATCTCACCAGCAGTGCTGCTGGGACACCGAGGTCACCGACAAAACAACCTGTTGCTGACCAAGATTTGGTCGCCACCTCTCTGTCTCGACGACCCACCGGTGCCTCGACGAGCAGCTTTAAACGCAGCATGTCGAATCTTTTCAAGCGGTCCAATTCCAACACTACAGGACCCAAACCTGACATGAAGGAGGCCAAGGGCTTTAACATGCCCAACTTGGAAGGCCCGTCTGACACCACAGTCAACGAATCAAGCAGATTTATCGCGGGCCGGAGGACATATTCTATGAATCAATCACACACAACAACTCGCTCAAACAGCCCACCGTCGCCGGGTTCGACTCTGGAAATGGTGAACACTAGCAAGACCCAGACAGACACCATGCCGTCATCAAACGATTTCAAGAAGAACCGCGCCTCCACCGGATTCTCCTTGCGCGGGCGTGCGATTGGCTTTGCGCACGCCAACGGTACCGCCCGAGAGAAGCACTCCAAGAAGGCAGCTCTCGGCCTCGGAGCACGTCGTCGCAGCTTTGACAGGCACAGCAAGCCCGCTATCGTGCCCGACGAAGTCTGCCATCCCCCCCACATGGAGCGGTCGCCATGGGCCATGATGCCGGATGCCGGTACCGGAGTCAAATCCCGACGCTTGAGTATCAGCCTGCCGGACGACTTCCACGTCGAGACAGCCGATCTGCTCTCCGAGTACGAGTACCAGAACAAGCTCCTTGGCCGTCACGGAAAGCATCTTGGTAAGGGAGCAACCTCCAAGGTGACTCTGATGTGTCGCAAGGGTTTCCCTGGTGAGCTCTATGCTGTCAAGGAGTTTCGCGGCAAGAGCAAGTCAGACACCACGGAGGAGTACGAAAAGAAGGTCAAGTCGGAATACAGCATCGCCAAGAGCCTGCATCACCCGAACATTGTCGAAACCATTCAGCTTTGCACCGATCATGGACGTTGGAACCATGTGATGGAGCACTGTGCAGACGGCGACATGTACCAGCTCATCGCCAAGGGTCATCTCAAGGACCCTGCACGCGCGACGGATCGTCTCTGTCTTTGGAAGCAGACCGTGCAGGGCGTCAACTACCTCCACAGCAATGGTATCGCTCACCGCGATATCAAGCTTGAGAATTTGCTCATCATGAACGGAAGCAAGGTCAAGATCACAGACTTTGGTGTTTCGGAGGTCTTCTCTGGAACCCATCCAGGTCTTCGCGAAGCCGGCGGGCAATGCGGCCAGAACATGTCTGACGTACGTATGTGTTCTCCAGGCATCTGCGGCAGCGAGCCGTACATTGCTCCTGAGGTTTTGCAGAAGAAGCAATCCTACGACCCTCGGGGCATGGATGTCTGGGGCACAGCCATCATTATGATTTACCTCACCTTTGGTGGAAACATTTGGACCAGAGCCGAGCGTGGCGCTGCACCCCTCTACGACAGCTTCTGCAAGGGCTGGGACAAGTGGAATGCGAAGCACCCCGAACCTGACGCTGCCCTTAGCGACAGGGACTACCCCTTCTTTGAGGCCTTTGATCTCTGCATCAACCCACCCGCTCTGCGACGCTTGCTGTTGTCAATGCTGAATCCTGATCCGGCTAAGCGAGCAAGTATCGCAGACATCGCAGGCTACCGCTGGTTCAAGAACATTGAATGCTGCCAATACGACAGCTACGATGACCCAGCAAAATACATTGATGCCTCGAAGAAAAACGCTACACACGTCAACGGACAGAAGAAGATATTCTGCCACAACCACCTGCCTCTGGCAAGTCAAGGCCATTCACTTGGCAAGATGCCAGGACAGGCGGGCTACTAATGAACGATTCAACAAAGTCATGATTTCCACATCATCCCGTGGCCCGAAAGAGCATCGATACGAGATATGGGCCTGGGTAATAATAAGGGAGAGGCAAGCTTGGCTCGACACAAGTTCTGAGAAAAGGCGTCCGCGTTTGGAAGTGCAACGGCCCATTTCAAAGGGCCTTCGAGAGGGAGTTGGGTTCGGTTTTTGCATGCACCGGAATCCGCGATTTCTGCTTCATTGTTTGACTGGCGGACTTCGGCGGACGATTTCTGCACTCTAGTGCTTGTCAAGCTGTACCTAA